ATTTTTCCGATTTAACAAAAAAATTTTTATCTGTAACATCGTGAGGTTGAGTTTCATTTGCATCAGAAATAACGATTTCGTTAAGATCTTTAACCACTTGAAAAATGTCTGATCGTGAATTTCCATTGTGCTTCCAACAATCTGTTAAACAGAATAGATTTAATTAATATAATTTTGTCACGCAATAAATATTAATAATTTTAATAAATTGTTATAAATTTATACCAGTATATATTTCTTTGTATTTAGGAGGTGTTCCAAGTGTAACCATTTCTCTTTTTCCTTTTAGAATATTATTTAGCAAATCAACATTTGAAAAAGATTCTATTTCGAAAGGAAAATTTCCACTAGAAATTTCCCATAGAATAATTCCCAAACTGAAAATATCTGAACTCTTATTTTTATTGATTGTTTCTAAATATTGAAGGTCAATATATTGAATTGAGCCAAGAGTATTTGTAAGGAATCTTAAAGATTCGGACATAATTTTCGTTAATCCAAAAAAATTAAATTTAACGTTCCCATTATGAATAAGAATATTTTCAGAATTCTATTTTAATTATAAAAAAATAAATTAAAAATAATTCATTTGTGTAGTTTATTTTTAAGTGAGAAAATAATTACCAATTTTCCATGAACAATATCATTCGAATGAAGATACATCAAAATATTTGCAATTTGTTTTGCAATATTTAATTTTGCGTTCCAATCCAGTTTTTGAAAATTTGTTTTTAAATATTGACGAAGAGAATCATTATTAACATGTTCAAGAATAATCATATGATTATCGGTGCTCTCTATAAAAGTCAAATAAATAAATGAATTAAAATTTAATTATTAATGCTTATTATTTGTAAAATCATTAAGATATCTTACCTTTCTTGGTAATGCCATAGAATCTAAGAATACTATCTTGCATTTCCAATTTTCGATGTCTTTTAATCTATTTCAATTAAAAATAATAATAATTAGCAAAAATATTAGCATAAAATTCAAATAATAGAATAGTTAAATAACTTAATTTAACTTACTTCATTTATTAAATTGTCCAGTGTAGATTTATCATTCAACGAAATATATTTTAGAGCAACAGTTTTTTGAGATGTTTTTAAAGAGGCTTTATAAACATTTCCATTGATCAATTTTATATCCTCAAATTCAGAATATTGACAAAATGGGATATTTTCTTTTCGAAGATTATCTTCAATAATTAAATTATCCATCCAGGCTTCCAATTCTTTTTCGTTTGGGACGTTAAATATAATAATAAATGAATTACGTAAGTCAATTTAAAATGAAACAATTAGGTTGTGTACAAATTATTTATATGCATATCATATTAATCAATTTGGAAACTGTATTTGTTATTGATTATCAGTCATGTAACGACGAATCATTTCATATATAATTTTTTCGCCGCATCCAATCTTACATATTTAGATTTTTCAAATTTATAGAAATATTTTTCATGGTGAGACTAATTTCTAATATCAAATAATTTGTTAAATAAAATAAATTATTGTATAAGTTATTTATTTAGCTATAACTTTCATCAACATCAAATGACAATATTGAATTGAAAGCATAGTTCGATAAATTCGGAGTTTTTATTCTTGAGATTCTTTAAAAATTCTTTTAAAAATTGACATAATTACGAAGAATTTGTTGTTATTAGTTGCATTTTCATATAAACGATTAACTCGTTTGTAGTAAATTATATTAAATTATACAATAAAGTCAAAAGAAAAAAACGAAACTTTTTCATGGTGTAAAACCGATGATCAAATATCAGAGATACTTTCATATACTAAATAATGTTAATAATTATGCTAATTATTGCTAATAAGATTATCAACGAATAATTACAATATCATGGAAATAGAAAAGACAATGGATAGTCACCATAGGTAAAATTTCATAATTCCTTAACCCTAAACTTTGCCCACATAAATTTAATTTTGCCCAGGATGACAATCACCTGTGGTGATACTTATTTATTTATATTTACGTTTGGTTAAAAAAATTATCTTAAAGATAAAATAATTAATCCTTTATAATGAATGCTTTTTAAGATATTCCCTTATGTAAACTTTATTTTTTTTTATCAATATTAATCGATTAGCTTAATGCGTTTTGTTTTATTAAAATATTTTAATTATTGTACTTCAACGAATTTCGACCTTTTTTCTTTCTTATTTTTCTATTATCAGTTATTGTATATTATCATATTACAAATTTACATAAACTTATAAGTGGTGACCATAATGTGATTGTAGATCACCACATAATCTTTCATCATCATTTAAATTATTAATCTATTGTTATTAAGAAATCTGGAAGGAAATAATTTATAATTCGATATTTCCAAAAAATCTGATGATCCAATATGATAAATAAACAAATTTATATTTGTATTTATTTACATTATAGAATTAATTAATAAAAATCTTAGAAGAGTTGTCTAAATGGAATTTTTTTTTTAAAAAAAAAAAAAAATTTCTCGATAGCTATATTTTAATTTAGAATAGAAAATAATGATGATGGTACAATTTTAAAAGTTAAAGATGATAAAGAATTTTACAAACCCATTTATGGATATAGTTAAATATAAAAATAAAAGAGTTTCTTTAAGTTCCATGATTAAGTTCTTAATTAATTATTACTTAATTAAATTAAATTAAACTTAATTATAAAGAAATCCAGATAAAGTTATTTCCTCTAATTCTCCGTTGAAAATTTTATATATAATTTCATAAATAAAATTATCTAAAAAAAAGATAATTATGTAATTCAACATCAGAATCGATGACGCGTTTTAAATTTTGAAAGCAAGCTTTGTTCAAACAATCGTTATAATTTATATTTTTTATTTTTAATTTTTTTCTTCATATTTTTGATATTTGATATTTTTATAAGGAAAAGTGTATATCAATTATAAACTAAGTTAATTGAATTTTTTGCTTTAATTATTTAAATATTAGAATATTCTACCCTCCTCTCTTTTTTTTGGATTCAATTGCAAAAAGAAAAATGTCTTTGAGATTATTTCACGAATTATCTCAAAACTTCATTGAACTTCTTATTGATAAAGATGATTACGAGATAATTATTAAAAAATCTTTTACTCCACATTCAAATGTATTCAAATATCGATCTTCTTATTTCCGTAAGTAATTAAGTCAAATTTTTGATATTATTCTCAAATAAATTTTTCCTCACTAAAAATTACATTAAAGCAGTGCCTATGAGTTATTTGTTATTTTCACCTTTCAGTTGATGAAGTTTTGGATCTTTAAAAAAATAATAGGATGGATGGACAAATATAATTAATTGTATGAAAAAAATTTTGTTACTCAATTTCGTTTCTTAAATACATAACATATAGGTGAAGGTTTATAATATATTTGAGCTTCGGGATTTATAGAGGGGGAATTATTGTGATGGATAGGTAAATATAATTTAAAAACAAATTTTTAATATATTGCTCTTTTTTTTTTTACCTATCAATTTTCTTAATTTTTGCCAAATGCATTATGCATTAAAATGCAAAATGATCTAGACCGGGGTTCAGATCTTCCCTTATATTATTTAGAAATAAAAAGAAATTTTATAAAATAAAAGTATGAAGTCGAGATATACAAACTGATCCTTACCCTCGTCCATAGAATCGTCATCATCATCTTCACTTCCATCGCTTCCATCACTTCCATTACTCGGAGAAGGAAAGAAATAACAACATTATTCTATTACTTGCTTCATAATTAATTAACTAGCTACAGAATTAACTAAATTAATTACTTAAATTTAACAATCAGTCAATTAAATATTAATTTTTTATCTCATAATAATTTCCTTTCATCCATTAACCGACTATCAAAGACCGAGAATTTTCTTGAGCTCTTATTAGAAATAGGATTACTTCATTAATCTTTAAATCGTTCAAATCAATTAATTAAAATAATTAAAAATAGATTTAAATAAATAAAATCATATTATCCCATAACCACACTCACCTACAGGCAAACCAGCTTTCCAAATGTTATAAATTTATATACAGGATAACTTGCAAGTGTATGATCACACTTCCCAATAATAATAAATATTGATCAAAGAATACAAATATAATATAGAAATAAATATAATTCCCTTAATTTTTCATTTTTTAGTATGCCGATTCTTGATTTTTACGAAGTAATAAAAAAATGACAATATATTATTCTTATTCGAATTTTCTTTTCTTTTTTTTAATATAATTCATTTAATAAAATTCTATCGCTTCATTAAAGATTTGAGTATCTTCTATATATTAAGTATGGCCTATGATATCTTTATTTTTGGGGCCATCAATCTTTCTCCTACTATGAGATGCAATTGCATCTCTTCCTTCTCCTACCCCCTACTGTCTTTATCACTTCTTCTCGTTTACTTCTTCACTATTGTGAGAATTCAATTTTATTGAATTTCAAAGCCGATAATTTTTGGTGCAGTATTATTAGCATGTCAGTAATAAAAGCATTTAAATTATTTAGAAATAAAAAGAAAAATCTTAAAATAAAAGTACGAAGTCAAAAAATGCGAATCATAATCATCTCCATCACTTCTTTTAATAAAAATTTCATCATAGCAATTAGTTAATTGATTAATATTAATTAATTCATCCTATAATAATTTCCTTTCATCTAACTGACTATCAAAGATCGAGAATTTTCTTGAGATCTTATTAAAAATAGGATCACTTTATTAACCTTTAAATCGATTAAATCAATTAATTAAAATAATTAAAATAAGAATTAATAAATTTAAATAAATAAAATAATATTATCCTATGCCATAAACACCACCCACAAACATATTTTCCAAATGTTATTACATTTTAAATGCGAAATATCAGTGACTTGCAAGTTTATTAGTAATAAAACATTCCTAATAATAATAAATATTAAATTAATCTCGATCAAATAATATAAATACAATAAATACAATATAGAAATATGAATATCTCATGTATGAGGACTAGGATGTTTGTGTTTTCGGGCCATCAATCTTTCTTCCTCCATGTAAGCTCCTCGATCTTTAGATGCATGTTTAATACAATTACATCTACATCTCCTCCTCCTTTACCTCTACTGCCTTCATCTCGTTCTTCTCGTTTTCCTTATTCACTATTGTGAGGATTTAATTTGTTAAATTTTAAAGCCGGAGATAAAATTATTGGAGCAGTATTAAGACATTTTAAGTACATGCCAGCAATAAGGATACTTCTATTATATTTCATACGAAGACTCTTTATTCCCGATGAAGAAGCTAAAAAAAAGATCCTTTATTTAATGTCGATTAATTGCTAATCAGTTCACCTTTATAAAAAAATAATTATATTTAGTATAAATATACTCTAATATGCTCGAATTAATATCACTAATATAGTATAAATACTTACAAAAATTAAGCAAAAATATGTCTTTCTAATAAGTAGGTTGAACTAAATACATTTTTTCTGAAATTCAATTAAATCTGTATAAACATAATTACAAGATGATGATTTGTTCCCGAGAAATGTTTAATTCTCTAAAAAAAAAGAATAAAATAAAAAATAAAATTAAAAATAAAATAAAAAATAAAATAAAAAATAAAATAAAAAATAAAATAAAAATAAAATAAAATAAATAAAAAATAAAATAAACAAAAAAATAAAATGAAAAGTTAGAATTTGAAAAAAAAATATTTATGTCTTGGACTTTTAATGTGAATCTTTGCAAAAAAGCTCGATCGACTAAACATTTTTATTATTTTTTCCTTTTATTCAATTACCGCAAAGTTGTGAATTTCCATCTAATCAAAATACTTTTTATTTATTATTATATAAAAAAAAATCCCCACTGTGAAGAATAATAAATAAAGGAGTCATAGTTAGGTTCTGAAATTACGCTTCGATATAAATTGTTTATATGAATAATAAGACAAAAATTCAAAATTTACATTATTTTCCTGAATGATATAAAGATAATTTAGTATTTACATGCCATTATATATATTCATTTAATTTTTTGTCCATCAAAAATTAAAAAAAATAAAGGTTTATTATATATTAACAATTTCGGTTTTTTTTTATTAAACGTAATAATTTTCTAAAATCATTAATTAAATTTGATAATACATTTTTCTCAAAAAAAAAAACAGAAATATCTTTTTTTTCAACATTTTGTCAATTCAAAAAATTAACCAAATTATATAATAATACGACGGTATTACGTATAAGAGAAGCATCTACCAAAAAATAAGACCAAAATCTTTTAAACAATAAAGAAATATTTAATTGAAATTCATTTAAACACTACATTATCTTATTTGTTATTTTTTTTAATAGATGATTGGCATCATTATTCCCATTTTCTTTTGCTTTATTTAGCCAATAGATAGCGTTTACAATATCTTTTTTAGCTCCATATCCTTTATAAAAGCATTTTCCAACCTCGTATTGACCACAAATATAATTACATTCTGCAGCTTTCTTATACCATTCAAATGCTTTCACTTGATCCTTATTAATCCCATAACCATTTTCATAATATTTTCCTAAATAATATTGAGCTAAAAGCACCCCTTTTTCAGCAGCCTTTAAAAAAAATTCATATGCTTTTTCGTTATTTTTATCCACACCTATACCAACAAGATAACAATACCCAACACGACATATTGCGTTAATATTTCCGGCAAGAGCAGATTTCATATACCACTGAAATCCTTTAGCAGCATCTTTTGGTGTTCCAGTTCCGTTTATATGGCACATACCAACTCTATTTTGTGCTACAAGAATTCCTTTATCTGCGGATTTTAAATATAATTTAAATGCTTTTTCTTCATTTTTTTCGATGCCAAATCCATTCATATAACAATCTCCCATTTCAGTTAAAGCTATAATAAAGGACCCTTCATAGGAAAGTTTAGAATAAATCCGATATGCCTTTTTCACATCCTTTTCAACTCCTATGCCAGAGAAATACATATCTGCAAAAAGCATGGTTCCAATTTCTTTGTTGATATTGTGCAGTTTCATTAAAGATAGGGGATTATCTGGTGCGGCATCAATTATTTTATTGGAAGCTAAACTAAAGAATTTAAATGCCATTTGGTAATCAGTAATTGTCCCAATACCGTTATTGTAAAAAAATCCTATCATGCTAGTGAACCAAGATTGTGATGGATGACTAATCATTTCATATAGAACTTCAACTGGATTCTTTTTATGTTCTTTAATATAATTTCTCATCATAATTGGTTGCGAACCTGTAAACTGTTTTTTAATGATATCAAAAAAAAAATTAAATAAATCCTTAATAAAAACTTCAACTTCTGCTGACTTATTGACAAAGGGAGGATCTGAATGAACTTTTAATTCTTCATTTTGTCTTAATAAACAGAATTTTATAGTTAATAAATATTTTATAGGATTCAAAAACATAAAAAACAATAACTTACATATTTAGCTTTTCCAATTTAACAGAAATAATTTCATCCGAAACATTGTGAGGTTGTGATTTAGGAGTTTCATTTTCAAAACTTGCATCGGAGATAATGATTTCGGAAAGATTTTTAGTTACTTGAGAAATGTCTGGTCGTGAATTTCCGTTGTGTTTCCAGCAATCTGTTTAAATAAATTTAATTTATATAATTTTATTATGTAATATGTAAATTTAATAAATTGTTGACAAATTTATACCAGTATAAATATCTTTGTATTTAGGAGGAGTTCCGGGTATAACCATTTCCCTTTTTCCTTTTAGAATATCATTTAATAATTCAGCATTTGATAAAGGTTCCATTTCGAAAGGAGGATTGCCACTAGATATTTCCCATAGAATAATTCCCAAACTGAAAATATCCGAACTCTTATTTTTTCCAATTGTGTTAAAAATTTCCAAATATTGAGGGTCAATATATTGAATTGGGCCAAGAGTATTTATAAAGAATCTTAAAGATTCGGGCATAATTTTCATTAATCCAAAAATATTAAATTTAATGATTCCATTATGAATAAAAATATTTTCAGAATTCTAATTAAATCATAAAATAAAATAAAATTAAAAAATAATTCATTTGTGTAATTTACTTTTATATAAGAAATTAATTACCAGTTTTCCATGAACGATATTATTAGAATGTAAGAATTTCAAAAAATTAGCAATTTGTTTTGCAAGATTTAGTTTTGCGTTCCAATCCAGTTTTTGGAAATTTGATTTTAAATATTGACGAAGAGATCCGTTATTAGCACATTCAAGGATAATAAATTATTTATCGGTATTCTCTATAAAACCAAATAAATTGTATACGAAAAATAATGTTTATAATTATTAAGTATAGAAGTTTAAACGTTCATATATTACCTTGCTTAGTAATACCATAAAATCTAAGAATACTATCATGAATTTCCAATTTTCGATATCTTTTAATCTTTTTCAATTAAAAAATAATAAAATTAGTGTTAATACTAACATAAAATTCAAATATTATAGAATAATTAAATAATTTAATTTAATCTACTTCATTTATTAAATTGTCCAGTGTAAATTTATCATTTAACGAAATGCATTTAAGAGCAACAGTTTTTTGAGAAGTTTTAAAAGTGGCTTTATAAAAATTTTCACTAATTAATTTTACATCCTCAAATTCTGAATATTGATAAAATATAATCTTTTCTTTTTGAAGAGTATCTTCAATAATCAAATTGTCCATCCAGGCTTCCCATTCTTTTTCGTTTGTCTTTTCTTGGGACATGATTAAATTGGTAAATGTAAGTCCCACCAAAATGAGTGTGAGAATAAATTTTATTATTCATTGTGTCACAATTAACCAATTTGGATGAAAATTGATACATTTGTAATTTGAAGCTAAGAAATTTTTATACCAAATATGGTTATTTGCTAAATATCACCGCAGGTGATTGTAACCACTAGGCAAAATTTCATAACTCCTTGAAACCCTAACTTTGCTCACGTAAATTTAATTTTGTCCATTGGTGACAATCACCTGCGGTGATATTTAGCAATTTTCAAATATTATTTTTAATATAATTTTGTGATTACTGGAAATTTTAATCTACCATAAGATATTTATTAAATGGCTCGTTTTAACTCTCTCGTTTGCATTAATTAAACTTTATCCCAAGGAATTTACAATTCTATGTAATATCGCGTAACATATTTAAAATTATTTTCATCATAGTGCAAAGGTGTCAAAGTTGTCAAAGTTGTCAAAATTGTCAAAGGTGTTAAAGGTGCCAAAGGTGTATTGACTAAGAGACCATTATGAATTATACTTCTTAGGATTTTTCTTTTTTGATACACGAGTTTCTTGTTCTTCCAATTCATTTTGTGGATTTCTAAGTTATAAGCTTAGGTTTGCACTCGACGAATAGGAAAAAGAATCAATGTTGTAAAATTTGAGCATTTTCCTGAAGAATTTAATAACATCCCTTTTAATATCAGCGAAAATTGAAATTCAGGGATATGATCTACGAGATAAAGTTATTTTGCATCAATATTATTTAAAGATCTATTAACTAGGTCTTCTATATCTGTAATATTGACAGCGTAGTTTTACTATGATTGACCATAATCAGAAAACAAAGTTGAACTAAATTAAATAAACTGTTTATTGTTTTATTATTCGATATACTGTATACAAGCCAATGTATAGAATAAGAATAGTGTTTGGTATCGTGCAAAAATTCGTGCAAAGATATCATTTTGTTATTTTTTATACGTTGAAAATGCAAAAGACCTGAGGCTTAGATTCCATTCAGTTAAAAAAAAAAATTCATTCCTTCTCTTCGCTTGTAATTAACAACGCTTTTTGACAATAATTATAATGCCCTATATTTTAGATATTATATTTTATAATAAATAATTTTTTTATGGAAGTAAAGTTGCTCCGTAAGTACTAAATTATTTAGAAATGAAAAGAAAGATCGTAAAATGAAAGTACGAATCGAAAAATACAAACTGATCCTTACCCTCGTTACATAAAAGTGTTATCATTATTTTCGCTTCAATCACTTTTAACAAAAATTTCGTCACAGCAAAAAGAATCTCGGAGAATAAAGAAATAAAACACCTTTCTATCTCTCACTTCACAATTTATTAACTTATTAATTCATTAACTAGCTACAGAACTAACTAAATTCATTACCTAAATTCTTCAATTAGTCAATTAATTAATATTGATTGATTCAACTCCATAATAATTTCCTTTCATTTATTAACCAACTATCAAAGAATTATTGAGCTCGTATTAATAATAGGATTACTTCATTAATCATTAAATCGATTAAATCAATTAATTAAAATAATTAAATTTAAGTATTAATAAATTTAAATAAATAAAATCATATTATCCCTTATTTCATAACCACACTCCTCCTATCCACATACCTTTCCAAAAGCATTACATCACATTCTAATGTATTGAAATATTGATCTTCTTATTTCCGTGAGTGATTAAGTCAAATTTTTGATATTATTCTTCAAGGAAAAATTTTTTTTCATTAAAACCCATATTACAGCAATGCCTACCATTTATTCGTCATTTTTCACATTTAAGTTGATGAAGTCAGAGATTCAATCAAACCTTTAAAAAGATATGATGTAAATATATTACTTACTAAATTTTTCTAAATGCGTACAGCACATCTCATAATATATTCGAGCGTCTGTAAGATATTTATATTTATAGTATGGAATAATACTACAAACGAATTTGAATACTCAATTTTCGTTTTTATACGCATATATAATGCAGGTTTATAATATATTTGAGCTTCGGGATTTATAGAGGAGCATTATTGTGATAGGTGGATTAACATGATTTGTAAAAACAAATTTTTAATATTTCGCTCTTTTTTTTAACTTTCAATATTTTTACTCAATTTTTGCTGTATGTGATTTATACATTTTATAACTCAAAATTTAATCCAAGATATCTAGAGTAAAAATTCGTGCAAAGATATCATTTTGTTATTTTTTTATGCGTTGATATGCAATAAACCCAAGGTTTAGATCATCCTGTGATTCAATTACTTATTTATCTGTTAAATAAAAATTCATTCCTTCTCTTCTCTTCTCCTGTAATTTAAAATTGATTAGTTTAATCATTTCTTGACAATAATTATAACGCCCTATGTTTTAGATATTATATTTTACAATAAATAATTTTTTTATGGAAGTAAATTTATCGGTAAGTATTAAATTTAGAAATAAAAAGAAAGATCGCAAAATGAAAGTACGAAGTCAAAAAATACAAACTGATCCTTACCCTCGTCACGTAGAATCGTCATCATCATCACTATTTCTAACTTGATAATTAATTAACTAATTAATTTGTTTAACTAATTAGCTTCAGAACTAACTAAATTCATTACCTAAATTCACCAATTAGTCAATTCATCCCATAATAATTTCCTTTCATCTATTAACCAAGAATCAAAGACCGAGAATTTTCTTGAGCTCTTATTAAAAATAAGATTACTTCATTAATCTTTAAAAATAATTAAAAATAAGAATTAAAACAAAATCATATTATTCCATAATCACACTCACCTACAATATGTAATAAATTTATATACAGGATGTCCGTAACTTGCAATGTATAAATAATATTATCACACTTCCCAATAATAATAATAAATATGAAATTAATTTCATATATAATATAATTATAATTACCGAAATTCACAATGTGCCATTCATTTTATTACATGCTGATTCTTGATTTTATAAAGCAATAAAAAATGAAATTATATTATTATCATTTAAATTTTCTTTTCTTTTTATATACATAGTTCATTTAATAAAAATTTCTCCATTTCATTAAAGATTTGTGTATCTTCTATATTTAATTTTTGAGTATATGTATTTTTTAGGCCATCGATCTTTCCACACCATGTAAACTCCTCAATCTTGAGATACAATTGTATCTCTTCCCTTCCGTCTCTTCTACCGCATTCATATATTTCTTCTTGTTTTCCTTCCCACTATAGTGAGAATTCGACTTGTTAAATTTTTTTTAACGGAGATGAAATTATTGGTGCAGTATTAAGACATCTTAACTACGTGTCAATAATAAAGGAATTAAATTATTTAGAAAAAAAGAAAAATCGTAGAATAAAAGTACGAAGCAAACAGATCTTACCCTAGTTAAGTAGAATTGTCATCACCATCCTCACTTCTATCGCATTTAACAAAAATTTCATCACAACCAAAAATAATCTCGGAGAAATAAAGAAGATCACAACATAATTCTATTTCTCACTTCATAATTAACTAATTCAATTAGCTAACTAGCTACAGAATTAACTGAATTCATTACCTAAATTCATCAATTAGTTAATCAATTAATATTAATTAATTCATCCCGTAATAATTACCTTTTATCAAAGATCGAGAATTTTCTTGGGCTCTTCTTATTAAAAATGAAATTACTTTATTAACCTTTAAATCAAATAAATCAATTAATTAAAATAACCAAAATAAGAATTAATAAATTTAAATAAAATTATATTATCCTTATCCCATAACCACACTTCCTCACCCACACACATACCTTTCCAAACGCTATTACAAGATATCCGTGACTTGCAAGTGCATAAACATATTCCTAATAATAAACTAATATTGAATTAATCTCAACAAAATACTGTAAGATAAATACAATATAGAATCACCAAATAATTGACCGAAAATCGCAATGCAAATTGTTTCATTTTATTACATGCCGATTATATGATTTATGAATATCTCATGTATGAGGACTAGGATGTTTGTATTTTCGGGCCATCAATCTTTCTTCCTCCATGTAAGCTCCTCAATCTTGAGATACGTGTTGAATACAATTGCATCTCTTCCTCCTCCTTCTCCTACACTGCCTTCATCTCTTTCTTCTCGTTTTCCTTCTTCACTAAAATGAGGATTCGATTTGTTAAGATTTAAAACCAGAGATAAAATTATCGGTATAGCATTAAGACATCTTAAGTGCATGTCAGCAATAAGGATATTTCTATTATATTTCATATGAAGAGACTCTTTATCTCCAATGAAGAAGTAAAAAAGATCCTTCATCAGACAAATATGATTCAACTGATAAAACCACGATGCCGTATTCATCGTATTCATTTAATCAATACATTACGCCAATTAATTGTTCATCAGTTTCACCTTTATAAAAAAATAAATATACATATTATAAATATGCTCTAATATATTCAAATTAATATCACTAAATACAGTATATATACTTATAAAAATTAAGTAAAAATATGTCGTTCAAATAAGTAGGTCGAACCTTTTTCTAAAATTTTAATTAAATCTGTACAAACCATCTGATTGAACATAAATACAAGAGAATGAATCAAATCAGATAATGATTTGTTTCTGAATAATTCGCTGAATAAAATAAAATAAAATAAAATCAATAAATAAAATAAAATAAAAAATAATAAATAAAATAATAAATAAAATAAAAAATAAAGTAAAAAATAAAATAAAAAATAAAGTAAAAAATAAAATAAAAAATAAAATAAAAAATGGAATAAATTATTTAATAATAAAAGTGATTTAAAAAAATATTATTAACAACTTTTAAATAATTCATACCTTTAGCGATAACCTTCGGTAGACTCTGGAGATAATTCTAGAGACGATTCTGTGGTTTCTAGGTACTCCTTATCATAATGTGACAAATTTTTTAGGTAAATGATAAAGAGTAAAAGGTAGAATTCGAAAAAAAAAATGATTTAGGTCTTGGACTTTTAATATAACAAAAGCTCGATCGACTATTTCTTTTTTCCTTTTATTTAATTACCGTAAAGTGCATCTCATAACTTTTGGGCTGATGCAGCGACTTTACACTATGGTTACGAACCCTACTCTACTCTTTTATGTTTTGTTAGAATTTTTCTTTTCCTTGTTTTCTACATTTACTTTTTTTTTTTTCCGAAGAATATTTTAACTTTAGGATTTTCAAACATTATTATCTACAGATTAAGATTATAACACGTGACAACTAAATATGAAATGCAAATTACCAAATCTACATATTTATAATTTTAGCCGAGTTCTAAAAATACTTACTTGTGTTACACAATATTGCAAATACAAACGCGCGAAAACCATGATAATTATTTATTTTGTTTTAAATGATATAAACAAAATAAATAAATAAATAAACAAATTAGATTAAACAAAATAAACAAATTGATATTTATTTATTTATTAGGAATATGGAAGTAAACAGGTGTTTTCTAATATCTCTCTCTTTATATCAAAAAAATAAAATTTTGTTTAGTATTTATTATCCCTTTAGATATTAGTTTTATTCTCGAAAATGGCACCAATTACAAGAATGACCTCAAGAAGATTAGGATTACAAGTGGAAGATGTACGACCCTTCTCACCTGCTGCACTTAGACCACTTCCAGATAGAAGGCAAAGGAGAACTACACAACAACAACAACAACAACGGCAACAACAACCACCTAGGCAACAATATTACGTTTTGGATATTTTGGTAAGAGGGTTAACTCCAAGAAAAACTGGAAACTCCACCCAGGCCCGCGTGGCCAACTTGTATGCAGATCTACCGTCGGTTGCGATTGATGGTGTGCCTCTCTTACTTCGAGAAGATGCTTTTCTTCTTTAAGTTTGTCAGGTGGTTGGTAGGGGCACTCCAGTCTTGGGTGGTAGCTGGAGGTCTCTTTTATTTTTTTTTGTTGGGCTGCATACAAGGTTTTATGTAATATTTCATAAAATGTCTTTTATTTTTTTTTATATAATATTTTCTATATGTCTCTTTTTTAAAAATATAAAATTAAACAGTTATAAAAAAATATAAAATTAAATAATTATAAAAAATATAAAAATTAAAAAAAAAAATATATGTTTTAGTTTTTACTCTTTCTTTATCTTTCTTTTTTTTTATCTTTTTTTTTTATCTTCTTTCTCTTTTTTATAATAGTTTTCTTCTTTCTCTTTTTTTTATAATAGTTTTCTTCTTTCTCTTTTTTTTATAATAGTTTTCTTCTTTAATTTTTTTATCTCTTTCTTTTCTTTTCTATTTTTCTTTTCTTTTTTTATGATATTTTTTTTTTCTTTCTATATTTCTTCATCTTTCTTTTCTTTCATTTTTTTTAGGATAGTTTTTCTCTTTCTGGGTCACAAAGGGTACCGACGTCCTCGCCGTGTGACCTGGGTACTATTTTTTTTTATAAAGAAAATAGTAGCTGACAGGTACCTAAATAAAAATTTACATGTACATTTAAACAAAAAAAATCGATTAACAAAATTATTACGATATTTATCTGAATAAATTTTAAGTTACAAAATGTATATTATTATCATAGCGGATTGTCATTAGTCATTAATTAAATATAATTTACCTATTCCAATAAATCTCTCGATAAATAATCAAAAACCTCATGCCCAGAATAAAGTTGCAGCTTAATGCATACGTATAACAAAAATCGAGTAAGAAAATTGATAGTTAAAAAAAAGAGTGATATATCTCAAAATTTGTTTTTACAAATCGGGTAACAAAATTTGTTTCGTACAAATAATTATATTTATATCCTATATATCTATCACCGAAACTTGAATATATTTTAAAGATTTAATTGAATCTAAGACTTCATCAACTGAAAGGTGAAAAATAACGAATAACTGGTAGGCATTGCTGTAATGTGATTTTTAAAGAGAGAAAATTTTCCTTGAAGAATATTACTTGCGGAAATAAGAAGATCGATACTTAATACATTAGAAATATTTTCTAATGATTACGTTGCAATCATCTTTATCAATAAGAAGTTCAATGAAGTGTTGAGATAATTTGTGAAATAATCTCAAAGACATTTTTCTTTTTGTAATTGAATCTAAAAAAAAAAAAAGAGAGAAGGGGTATATTCTAATATATAATTAATTAAAGCAAAGAATTCAATTAACTTAATTTGTAATTAATAATTTCATTATAATAAATATTAAAAATTGCAAAAAATAATAAGAAAAAAATTAAAAAATAAAAAAACAAATTATAATTTAATTAGAGCTTATTTTCAGATTTAAAACGCGTCATTGATTTTGATGCTAAATTATTTAATTATTTTTTTAAATAATTTATTTGAAAAATTATGAATAAACTATTTCAACGGAGAATTAGAGGAAATATCTTTATTTATAATTCAGTTTATAACATAATAAATTTAATTTAATTAATTAATAATTAATCAAGTTCTTTAATTGACGTCCCATTATTTAATAATATTTTTTTAATAAAGTTATTCGAAACTCCAAATTCTAGATCACATTCTTCTCTAATTAAACAATAAATAAAATAGCTTAAGTAACCATAACCATTTTGGAATTCGATAGTTTAATAAAAAATAAAAAATTTAATAGATATTTTCATTGAACACGAGGAGAATCTTTTATTTTCATATTTGCCTATACTTTTAATTATTTTTCATTTACTCCCAAAATAGATTCGTAAAATTTTTTATCATCTTTAACTTTTAAAATTGTACCATCATCATTATTTTCTATTCTAAATTAAAAATATGGCTAGTGAGGAATTTTTTTTTTTTTTTTTTTTTTTTAAAAAAAAATAAAATTTAGGCAACTCTACTAAGATTTCTATTAATTAATTCTATAATTTAAATATATTCAAATGTACATTTGATTACTTATCATATTATTTTTTTTTCGAAATAAAATATTTTCTTCCAATAATTTAATAATTTAAATGATGACGAAAGATTATGGTCATTATTTATAAGTTTAGGTGTAAATTTATTGACAGTAATATGATAATGTACAATAACTGATAATAGAGAAATAAGAAAGAAAAAAGGTTGAAATTCGTTGAAATACAATAACTAAAAATATTTTAATAAAAAAACAAAGTTTACATAAGGGAATATTTAAAAGATAAAATAATTAATCTTCTACAATAATTGTTCTTTACTTTTTAAAATAATATTTAAGCAAAACGTAAAAATAAATAAATAAATATATAATAATCTATTTAATTCTTTTAATATGTTGTTTTTTTATTTTTCTTACGATTATTATACGTCTATAGTAACTTGTCATTTTATTAGCAAACATCATCATCATAGTATTAGCTTTATTTACAATTATTAGCGTAATTTAGTATCTCGGATATTGTACAGTAACATCGGTTTTACGCGATGGAAAAGTTCTTTTGACATTTTATATAATTTAATATAATTTTCCACAAAAGGGTTAACCTCTTCTGTGAAAGTGTCACTTTTAAAATGAATTTTTTATATGATCCTAAGATAGAATTTATTAAAAACTCGAATTTATTAAACCGTTCTTTCAATTCAATTATTAACATTTGGTGTTGATGAAAGTAATAGCTAAATAACTTTATATACATATATTTATATTTTTATTTTATCAACCAAAATTATCGATATTAGAAAATAAAGTAATTGGTCTCACGATTTTATAGTTAAAATTATTATAATCACCATCTAAACGTCTTTAACAACAACAATTACAATCATCATCATCTTCATCACCCAAGATAATGGCGTAATTTCACTTCAAATATTTCGAAATGTTAATTAATTTGTCTGGATCAATCCAAGAATTTGCAAGTGGGGCTATGGTTTGTGAAGAATGCGGACTAGCACACGGTGATGAAATTATCGATACCAGATCTGGATGGTGTACATCTAATGGCAAAGGATGAATTTTCACCATTATCACAATCAATAAGTCGATCACATTTTAAAGCATAATTAATAAAAGTATTGTGAGTACGAATGTGTGCTTCGGGGGATTTATTCAATTTGCCATTCGATGGATTTATCCACGGAAATCATTGAGACGACCATTCAATTATACAAAGATCCAATGAGGAAAAATGAGAATAAGGTGGCGATTTATGCCACATTAATTTATATCTTATGTAGAATAATGAATGTGGGAAGATTATTAAAATAAATTATAACGGTGACCGGGTATCCAAGGACATCTAAGTCGAGCGGTTAAAATCTTGGTATATACTGTATCAACATTTGATTTAATTTGAAAATGAATGATTCTAGTAATCGACTTGTGATTTTAGAGGAAGTTACGGGTACCTAACTTAAGGTTAATCAAAGGATTGAACAACTTGGATAATTAATCGGGCAAACTCAGAATACTATAGTGACAGCAGTGATACTTCTCGTTATTATCATATTAAAATATCCGATTTCAATTGTTGATATTTCGAATGTTTCTGGAATAAGAATATCATCTATTAATAATGTTTGTCATATGATTGAATTGTAGGATAATAAATTTCAAAATTTCTCTCTTACTGCTGCTATTATCAATAATATAAATAGTGGTGATGGTTTGTTGTGTCAATATTAATGTCAGTGATGGTGATGAAGAATGACAAATTAATAAATTTATTAAAATTTATATTTGTGGATAGTTTACTGAATATAAAATCGTTTATTGTGTTTATACGTAGAAAATTATTTACATCGAGTAATTAAAGAATCAAAAAAAAACGTGAAAGATATACAGTGCGTATACATATTTATATTTAAATATATGTAAGAATAAGTATAAAAATCATAAATCGAGCTAATAATAATTTTTATTAAAAAATACAATTAACAAAATTTGTATGAAATTCTTACTTTCACATTATTAATTTGTATTATAAATTAAATATTACTTTTGAAAATTTTCGTAGAAATTCTAAAATTATTAATAAATAATGAACATTTGACATATGACCAATAAGATTGGTTAAGATCAACAATCCCATAATTTTTTAAAATCGCTATAACTTATTATATTTAAGGATCACACTTAAATATACTGTTGGAGCATCTCCCTCCATTATTAGAGAGAATCAGAGTTATCTCACTCTGCTCAGATAATAGAGAATTAGAGCTATCTCGCTCTGCCCAAAAAATAGAGAGTCCGAGGTGTCTCTCTCGGGTAAAAAAGGAGCCTGAGGTGCCTCTCTCAGTATAAAAAATGCAGAGCCCCTGCTTGCACGCTTCCTTTTATATATTTATTAAATTATAATTATCATATTCGATAGCAAAAAAAAAAAAAAAAGAAAAAATATTAAAAAAAGTAATTTTATGTAATTAAATTTATTACACTTGACATAAAATAAATAAAAATAAAATAAGACGGATATTAGAGATTCAAATGAGTAGTGAAAGTGAACTAATTTTATTAATTTTATTTTTTCAGACTCTTTTAATTTATTTTTATATTTACTCTTTCGAAAAATAAATTATTTTATATGAGTCAAAATAATACTAACCATATTTTATAATAAAAGATTATAATTAGCGCTAGATATATACATAAATTATATAATCAAACTATATATATATATTAATTTTATTTTTCTCTCTTTTCAAAAATGAATTATTTTGTGTATACATCAAAATAATACTAGTCATTTTTTATAATAAATAAATATATATTATTGAAATGATATAGAAAAAAAAAGATTATAATTAACGTTAGATATATAAATTATATAATCAAACTCGATAGATATTAATTTTATTTGCCAAAATATTGAACATATCTTGCAAGTTTCGTTACATTATTTAAACCATCCTCTAAAGTGAGCACAATTTCTGATAGTATTTGAGAAATTTTAAATAATTGTACCATCACCATTTTCTAATCTAATAACTTTATTTTTTGAATACATCAGTTAATTATCATTGGTTTGAACCACTCTTTCTTGAGATCTTTGTTTTTGTGTACTCTGCTACAACTTCAAGTGCGAGGGTGATGGAATCCTAATACGTCTGTTTAATGTTTTCTGCATGATTTTACCTAGAATTATCATAAACAGTATTCAAAAATACTCTACAGTTAATATTTTCTGAAAGAATCATCTGTTCCAAATTAATAATTCGATTATTGGACCAGATTCCATTAATATGATTAATGAAATGCTAATACTGGTACAACTCAATTAATCTTAAATTGTCTAAAAAATAATACCATATTATTCTTGAGATGTCTAAAATTGAATATTTATAATTCTGAACCAAATCTTTATTATGATGTTTGACATGCAATTAGACAAAAAAATTATATATTGTTCGATGAAACTAAGCATTATGCTATTATGATCCTAAAAATTTTTGTATTTAAGTAAATAACTTCACTATCAAAGTTTCATTGAAAGTCAGAATTTTTATATTTTGCAATGTGTCTTTATTATTTTATATTATTTTATTATTTTACAATAAGAAGAATTCACATTTTTTATATGTTTTGAATCCCAAGAAAATATTAATTATAAAATTTTCTTTATTAAGATAAATGAAGAAATACCTCCCTTTGTTGATAACTTGGAATTGTTAGAATATAGTTGAAGTTCTATAGGAAATGATTCGTCTTGGAAATTTTTTAGCAGGATGATAATAATCCGAAAATCAAATAACATTATGAATATAATAATAATAGAAATTTTACGGCTATCAAATTGATTGATATGAATATATAAAATAACTTGTACAAATACATTAACCTAATTGTGGCACAATGAATATTTGTTCGAATTTCTTTTCATTTGGGGCGACTTCCGACATGCCCCAAAAAAAGACAAACGAAAAAGAATGCGAGGTCTGGATGGACAATACGATTATTGAAAATACTCTTCGAAAAGAAAATATCCCATTTTATCAATATTCTGAATTTAAAGATGTAAAAATAATTCATGGAAATGTTTATAAAGCCACTTTTAAAACTTTTCAAAAAACTGTTGCTCTTAAATACATTTCTTTAGATGATAAATTTATGTTGGATCATTTAAAAAATGAAGTAAGTTGAATTAAACTATTTATTCATTCTCTTATTCGAATTTGCCAATGATATTTTTATATTTTTACATTTTTAATTGAAAAGATTAAAATATTTCGAAAATTGGAAATTCATGACAACATTCTTAAATTTTATGGCATTACGAAGCAAGGTAAGATATATTTTACAAATAAGAAGCATTGATAATTAATTTTTATTTATTATTTATTTGATTTTTATAGAGAATATCGATAATTATATGATAATTATCGAATACGTTAATAATGGTTCTCTTCGTCAATATTTAAAAACAAATTTCGAAAAGCTGGATTGGAACGTAAAATTAAATATTGCAAAACAAATTGCCAATATTTTGACGTTTATGCATTCAAATGTCATTATTAATGGAAAATTGGTATTTATTTTTCTTATTTAAAAATAAATGACATAAATGAAATTATTTTAATTTCTTTTATTTTTTAATTTAATTAGAATTCTGAAAATATTCTTATTCATAATGAAATCATTAAATTTAATGTTTTTGGATCAACGAAAATTATGCTCAAATCTTTAAAAATTCTTACAAATACTTTTGGTCCAATTCAATATATTGACCCTCAATATTTGGAAAATTTTAACACAATTGTTAAAAATAAGAGTTCGGATATTTTCAGTTTGGGAATTATTCTATGGGAAATATCTAGTGGCAATCCTCCTTTCGAAATGGAACCTTTATCGAATGCTGAATTGTTAAATGATATTCTAAAAGGAAAAAGGGAAATGGTTATACCCGGAACTCCTCCTAAATACAAAGATATATATACTGGTATAAATTATTAATATTAACAATTTATTAAAATTATTTATATTTATAACGAAATAAAGTTAAATAAATTAAATCAATTAAACAGATTGCTGGAAACATAATGGAAATTCACGACCAGAAATTTCTCAAGTGGTTAAAAATCTTTCTAAAATTATTATCTATGATAGTACAAGTTATGAAAATGAAACTCCTCAATTACAATCTCACAATGTTACGGATGAAATTATTTCGGTTAAATTGGGAAACCTAAATATGTAAGTTACATTTTTATATTTTTTATATGTTTTTGAATTCAAGAGAATTTTACTAATATCAAAATTTTCTTATTAAGACAAAATGAAGAACTAAATGTACATCCAGATCCTTCCATTGTTGATAAGTCAAGAGAAGTCGAGGTTTTTATTAAGGATTTATTTGAATTTTTTATTGATATCACTAAAAAACAGTTTAGAAATTCGCTACCATTTATGATGAAAAATTATATTAAAGAACATAAAAAGAATTCAGTTAAAGTTTTATATGAAATGATTCGCCATCCATTACAATCTTGGTTCACTAGCATGATAGGATTTTTTTACAATAATGGTATTGGGACAATTACTGATTACCAAATGGCATTTAAATTCTTTAGTTTAGCTTCCAATAAAATAATTGATTCCGCACCAGATAATCCCCTATTTTTAATGAAACTGCACAATATCAATAAAGAAATTGGAACCATGCTTCTTGCAGATATGTATTTCTCTGGCATAGGAGTTGAAAAGGATATGAAAAGTGCATATAATATTTATTCTAGACTTGCTAGTGAAGGGTCTCTTATAGCTATAAATGAAGTTGCAGATTGTTATTCAAATGGATTTGGCGTTGGAAAAAATGAAGAAAAAGCTTTTAAATTATATTTAAAATCCGCAGAGAAAGGAATTCTTGTAGCACAAAATAGAGTTGGTTGTAGTTATAGATTTGGAATTGGAACGCAAAAAGATTCATCTAAAGGATTTCTGTGGTATATGAAATCTGCTCTCTCTGGAAATATTAATTCGATATTTTATGTTGGTTATTGTTATAGCAATGGTATAGGTGTTAATAGAGATCATCAGAAAGCATTTAAATGGTTTTTAAAGGCAGCTGAAAACGGAGAATTTTTGGCTCAATATTATCGAGGATATTGTTATGAGTATGGTTATGGGGTTAATCCAAATCAAAAGAAAGCATTTGAATGGTATAAGAAAGCTGCAGAAAATAATTACATTTATGGTCAATACAAGATTGGAAGATGCTTTTATGAAGGATGGGGAACTAAAAAAGATATTACAAATGCAATCCACTGGCTAAATAAAGCAAAAGAAAATGGTATTATCTTTGCTGATTATCTATTAACGGAAATAATAAATGATATAATTTGAAGTAATGTTAAAAAATATTTCGTTTATCTTCATGTAGAATTTACTAGTGATTATAAATAATTTATCTAATAACCTATTAATTTTGTTGATTTTTTGAATTAATAAATGTCAAATGTCAAGAAAAAGATAATCTCTTTTTTTTTTTATTATGGGAAAAACGAATAGTCATACATGTAATTTAATTAATGATTTTCGAAAAGGTATAGAAATTAATCTGTTAAGCAAGAAAAACGCCTTCTTGGTGTAATTTCTGATTAAATGAATGACACGTAAATGCCAAATTACCGTTACATTATTCCGGAAACTTGTTCTACATATTATATTTGCGTAATGAAATAATATATATAAATAAAAATAAAATTTAAATTTAATAATTATTTAATTTATTTCTAAGCGTAAATTCAGGGGAGGGGTTAATGGACGAGTAGAAATAAAACAATAGATAAGATACTGATTGGAATGTAGCGAATAGATAAGCTATAGATAGAAAGGTGGTAATTATGTATTCGATTGAAGGTAGAGGAAAAAATTTCGTCAACGTGATATTAAAAATGGTTGAAAACATATAAAGATTTTTTAATAATTAACAATATTGTTATAAATTATATTATATTTATTAAATTATTAATGAAAGATATTTTATTTAATGGAAATCCGCCTAATAGTAATGAAGAAACTAATGCTGATGAAAAATATGAGGACATACGTTTAATCAAAACGCATATGCAGACATCGCAAAGAAAAGTAACTAGGTTGAAGAAAGTAAAAGGTAAACGGTTGCGATTGATGAACAGAAGAATGAAAGCCCTGAATTGAATGACGGTGTAGTTAAATTGTTGGAACAATAACCCATATGTAAATGAAAGATATCAGAATTGGGAAATTAGTTGAACAGATTACATCAATAACCAAGAGGTTGGATAAAGTAGAAAATAAAGTTGGAGGCCAGTTGGAACCGAATGAAAGGGAGAAATGTCCGGCGTTATCAGCTGATACTTTGGAAAAATTGGAACAGATGTCCGAGGGTTTATTTGGATTATCTAATGTAGTCAAAATTTTGGGAACTAGGGTTGAGGTATAAGCGGACGTTTAGATCGTTTGCAATTTGGGAATCAAGAAGGCATTATCCAAACAAGAATTGGGAATTTAAGTGTTTGTGGAGTTCCTTGCTAAAGATTTAGTTTGGTGACAATGGACATGCGATCATGTTTATTACGTTCAATTTTTCTTTAAACGTATTGTTTGTTTTAATTTTTAATTTATTTTATTTTCATTTTTATTTAGTTTAAGTTTATATTAAAATGGTCGAGTCGATACAATTTTAAACATTTCATAGTCATAATTATAGGTGCAGACTTATTGACGTGACATATTGCAAAGTTAAGTTAAGTCATAGACGAATTAAGGACATATCCCAAACGTGCATTTGATACGGTATTTGTGACAAATGACGTTGACATAACTTAGTTATGTCTATAATATAATATAATATCATTTATTAAATTTTAAAATAATTTTCTAAAATTAAGGCAATTTGTTGAAACTCTTTTTTTATTATTTTCTGAAATTGAATCAATAGTATTATTTAATAATACTTGACGTAATTAATGTATTAAGGCAAGAGTTGTAACCATAGAGTTGCAATTATTTTTATAATTCCTAGAATTCCATAATGCCATAATGCCATAATTCTGCTGTAATTATATCATAAAGTAATTATATAAAATCGGAAATAATCATTGATTGTTCTTTATAAAACTTTTATTTTATAAATTAATATTAAAAATAATCCTAAGTAACTTCAAAGGTGAGAATAATGTACATCTTATATGATGAACAGCTTAGATCTATATCATCAAAATTGAGAGAACAATTGGTGACTCATGTTCGAATAGATAAAATTTTAAAATAATAATAATCCAATGAAATAGACTTGAAATTCTTACAGAAGGTGTAATTAATTTTTATCTTTTAGGTTACTTAATATTATTTTGATACCTTAAAATTACTCATTTCAATTAAATACTTCCAATAAAAAAGTTTTATCACAAGGAATTAACTAGATACCAGAATTTTTTGACCCAAAAAATGATAAAATTAAAAAAAAAATTGGTTATAAATGCCAATTATTCAAATTTTTCAAAGAAAAAAATCAAAAATATGATACTTTTGAAGCTTTAGCATACACAAATGCATAAAAGAAAATTGCATTCAGTTTAGTAAGTGAAATTGTTTTGTACAAGTCACCTAATAATAAACAGTAGAATTTACCCATAGGTTGTTCTTATTACACCATTATTATCACATTTACAAAATTAGTTAACAAATAAAGAAATAAAATAATAATAATTTTTAATTCAAAAAAGACCATCAATTTCCTTTAATAATGGAGTTTCGCAAGTTAATTTCTCTATTGCTGAGGAAATTAAATAAAAATACATCATGAGAAACTACATTGTGTAGGTGCTTATCCGTGTACAACAGATGTTCCACATTAATTTCTGTTTTTACCAAAGAAGGTTCTTTTAATTGCCATGTGTTTTGGACATGTACTCCCATAAATTATCAAGGTATATTGGAATCTTAGAGGAAAATTCTTTATCGGTGATACTGGACTGGTAATTCATGTGATTCAAACAATTAATTGCCACACTCCTTATCAAAATCTTCCTTCACAAAAAAAAATTTCATGCAGTATATCCACAATCTCCACAATCGCAAACGCTACAACCCCCTTCCTGATAATGCACACAACTAATAACAGTGCTATCAAGAAATTCCAATTGGATTGTATACAAAATTGAATAATAAATAAACATTTTTTAAAAATTATAATATTAAAAATAAGTTAGATTTAAAAACTATTCAATTATTATTTCACTAGATTATAAAAACTGCATTACAAATTTAAAAAATTTTAAATTCAAATTTATTTATTAGAAAGCTATCATGACAATGATTACGACAAACCATTGAAAAGAATAATAATGCAATTTGTTATGCGTAGATTTGATTTTTATACTTTTACGATCACATTGGATGTGTAACATGAAATGTATAAGGATGGATTTATTCAACTTTTTTTATTTCACTTATGCTGATTTTAACAATAACTTTTTTTAGTAGAAGTTGTGATTTTTGTTGCCTGATTTGGTTTTTCCTTGACTGTAAATAATTGTTATTGCACATCTTTCAATAACATAAGAAACGTAAGATAAATGTCATTATTACTATATTTTTTGATTATTGTTATCTAATTTAAGTAAGTTTATATACTATTTGTTTGTGCTAATTATTATGTTATTAATACGCAATAATTTTTATTTTTTTGAATAATAAAATAGTATTGTCCGGAACAAAAAGATTTGCTCCTTATTACACACGAATACCAGTACAATTTTATTCACATATGATATTGAATAGAATATGAATGATATAAATATATAACATATTTTTTCTGGTGTTTACTGGATTATGTAAAAATTGTTTATTCAATCATATTTTTGTAGATGATGATTAATGTCTGAATATGTAAATATAGTTTTCATCAGTAAATTTTTTAAGCATAAAATTATGTAATATTACACCATTTACAAAAAAAAACCCCATTCTTGAATTCGCTCGTATTTTTCGTGACAGGAGCTATTTTCTACTAAAGTTTCTAAGATGGATCGAAAGCCCTGGTTCCTGGATACATGTCAATATATATTTCATTCTTTTTGTTTTGATATTCATCGAGATATTCCTGCTTAAAGCCAAAAGTCCATGAAAAATTTTGAAATAAATTTTACATAATATTTCGTAATATGAATATCAATGCTATAGGAATAAAGCACAAATTAGCATGTAACCAAGAACAAGGACTTTCGATCCATCTTAGAAAAACCTTAGTAAAAAATTGCCACCTGTCACGTAAAATCGTGAACAAATTCAAAAAATAGATTTTTTAGGCATAAATTTCCAAAATATTTACGTAAATTCAAAAATTTATACCTAAAAAAATTTTCTGATGTTCAATTATCAAGTAAAACATACTAATTCTTGATATATAGGATTTATATTAATTGATGTGTAATTGATATGTAATTAATATGTAAATAATATATAATTTATATATTTAAATATATTTTTCAGTATCTACAGAATTACGTTTCAATTGTAATTTGTTTATAATTAGTGAATTTTCTTTAATTAAAAATACTCATGAATTTTTTTACAGTTCCATTTCCCTTACTAATTAAAACTGTTCAGAAGGTATGAAAGTAATTGTATATTTGTTTTCACTAAGCTGGCTTATGAACTGATTGAAAGATGAATTTTCTTTAATTAAAAATATTCACAAAATTTTTCACAGTTTCCATTTACATCCAGAACTTTGGGACACAATTTCAAAGCAAACTGCCTTGTAACGACTAATTAAAACTATTCAGAAGGTATGAAGGTAATTGAATATATGTTTTCTCTAAACTGGTTTACAAACGGATTAAAATATGAATTTTTCTTTGATTAAAAATACTCCCAAATTTTTTCACAGTTCCATTTTATATCCAGAACTTAAGATGTAATTTCAAAGCAAACTGCTTTTGAGTAACTAATTAAAACTGGTCAAAAGGTATGAAGTTACTTTAATTTTAATTTTGCTAAGGTGGTTTACAAATGGTTATATTTTTACTTGGTCAACAGAGTGCATCAAAATTTATTTTTGTTATATTTGTTTACAGATAGAAGAAAACATCCTAATTTTCAAGAACCATATCAAAAAATACACAAATATGACTCCCAATCAAAATTGTATACAGGCACATATCTTACTGGTTCCTGCACAGAATCACATGATGCAGCTACTCTAATTAATCTAATAATTTGAGTAATTACATGATAAAAATAAGAAATAATGATAATTGAAATCTTTAAAAGATATTTCAGTTCTTCTATATAATATAGAAACATGCACTAGTCAAATACAAAAGAATTACTGTACCAAATGGTGATTCCTATACTATAGATCAGCTAAAAATCAGTAAAAATTGACCACCCTATTGCATCCTATATTATAAATCAGCTAAAACCAGAATTCCTTTTCAGTACGGCATAACTATTGTATTTGACCTGTGTACATTATAAGTCAGCTAAAATTGGAATTCCTTTTCAGTATGGCATATCTTTTGTATCTGACATAACCAATACATGAACAGAATCTCAATATTTGGAACTCTTCAGCAACAATTGGTAAAAATAAAAGTTCTGATAATTATTATCAGGGATTATTTTTGGGAGGTTTCTAGTGGTAATCCACCTTTTGAAATGGAATCCTTGTCAAATGTTGATTTGTTAAGCAATATTACAGAAGGAAAAAGGAAAAAGCTGAACAACTCATAAATACAAGAAAATATATATATACTGATATAAATTTAAATAATCTATTAAAATTCAATTATATTGTTAACATGTTAATTAATTTTATTTTTTAAAAGATTGCTGAAAGTACAATGAAACTAATGACCAGATATTTTTCAAGTTGTTAAAAATCTACCAGAGCCTCTTCTTTACAACAACAACAACACCATTGATAGCAGTATCAACAACCATCCCTCTATGATGTAGATTTTAATATTGTCCAGTGCAAAAATGTAGATACACAAAAATCACTACACAAATTTCACCAATTATAGAAATCTTGCAAATCAAATGGTATGAAAATTTTGAATTATAAAAAAGGTAAGTATGATTCTCAATTTTGATTTTTATATTTAATTGGCTGTTTGTTTTTCCCTTGGTCGATGTAAATCAAGGGCCAATACTTTTTGGATGCTAGAAAAAATCCAGACCATTTTCAAAGCCTGACACTATGCAAGTAAGTTGCTACAGTTCTTGGTATTGGAAAGGCTACAGTTGTACAAGTAGTTTCTGAATATAACAAAAATGATGAGAAGAATTTATCAACACACAAAAAACTTGGCTGACCTAAAGAAAAACCTGATTCTAATATTGCAGAAGTTATACATAGCTTAGTTTTATCAGCAAACACTTCCAGTTCCCCACTTTCAACACCTATATTATGTAAAAAACTTGCTGAAAAAGATTTTGTTCTTTCAAAATGGCAGTTATTTTGTATATTGCATAGTCTGGGCTATTTTTGTGGCTGCGGTGAGCATTGAAATATTTTACATGAATTCCTTGCAAATGTAGCTTTTCAAAATATTTATTTAAGAAAACGTTTTAAAATTTGCAGGGCAGAAATAATGTTCCCAACAGACCTGAAAATTTTTTGGATGAATCATATTGTCACTTACATCACACTTCAAATTGCAAATGGGTACCACATCATGGAATTGTCTCTTCGCCAGGACATGAACCTTTGATTATTATATTTGGAGCTATTGCTGTAATGCAAAATGGTAACACTTATAAAATTTATGGTGAACTTATACCTAATTCTATCTTATTATGGAATCCATCAATTAAACCACCTTCTTCAAGAGGAAGAAAATGAACAAATGCAGATGCTTGGGAAGAAATTCCTGAAATTATTTGCAATTCTAATATTGTAGTCAATCATAATGACTACCACGGGAATTTTACGGCTGAGATTTTTAGAGACCTTTTTAACAAGCTTTGTTCCAATGTTTATGAATGATATAGATCAGCAGATATTCACATGGATGGGGCTCAGTATCACAAACATCAGGTTGAACAAGTGCCATCATCAAACTCAAGAAAAGATGCCTTAATCTCATGGTTAATGTCAAAGAATATAAATATTCCAGAAGGTTCCAGTAAAGCAGAACTATATGAATTAATAAAACAAAATAAATCAAATGTACCCTTTGCATGTAATCAAATAGCTGAAAGGTGTGATCATAACTTATTCTATACTCCTCCATACCACTGTGAACTTAAACCCATTGAAGGAATTTGGGCAATTGTAAAAGGAGAGGTTGTCAGAACTGGTCCTCATCTTAATCTTCTTTCTATTAGAGACAAATTATTGAATGCATTTAAAGAAAAGATTACTTCTAAAATTATTGTTGGATTTTGGAGAAAATCACTTGGTAAGACATAAGAATACAGGGATTTAAGTGATGACATGATTTTGGATATTAGCAATGATGAAAATTCTGATATTGAAGAAATTGATGTATAGTAAAATTTTTTTTGTAAAAAAAAATCTTGGTAAAACTAATATAAAAATAAATCTTAAAATATGAATAAACAAAATAAAATCTCAAATACATATATTAATTTTATAAAAAAAAAATTTTGTATATTAACATATTGGTATATCTACATTTTTGCACCAGACAATATTATTTAATAAATACTTGGAGAATGGAAATTATAAGGACGCATTTGTAGACGTTAATATTTTATTTAATTTATAATCTTAATTAGAAAATACAGATTCATTGTTTTCTCCATTAATCATAATTGACAATATATATTTATTATATTTAGGTTCTTGCTTCACAAGAGTTACATCTTATTTACTGTATATCTTTACAGCAAATTCAACCCGAAGACCATTTTTCTCATACAAGATATTTTCTTTTATTCATTACCTTTCTTTGGAATTGAATAAATATTCTGATTTAAAAATCAGGTGGATGGATAAAGAAAATTTTAACCCAAAGGTATTTCACGATTTCCTTTTTATTAAAAAATTCAGTAGAAATCAAAATCAACGAAATCATATATAATATAGAATCATATAATTAGAGAACACTTTGAAAGACATTTACATATAGTGAAACAGCGTCTCACATAATATTATTACAAGATTGTTATTTTGGGTCCTAACTTGAAAAATATCTAGCTTTTAGTTCATTTAGTAAATTGTTTGTTCGCATAAATGTATAAGATCGTCAAATTTACATGGAGAGATATTCTTGAGAATTTAGGAGTGTAAAATATTTATAAATCAAATAAATAATAAATTTGCTCAAAGATTGTATATTCAATTAATTTTTTAATTTATTAGAGAAGTGGGTTAAATTGAAACTTTGATTTCAACTAATATGAATTAAATGTTCACTCCTGTAATATAAAATTTATTTATAATTGATTAGAGAAGTGTTGCATTATGTTAAATTATGTTGAAACTTTTGGTTTTATAATTATGAAACAATTGATTTATGTTATGATTGATTAGAATATTATTTAATATTGGATTAGTTCTATAAATATGAACGAAAAGTAATCGAATTATTTTCAACTATAAATAATGAAGACCATACAATAATGATCTCTTCATGGATTGATAATCGACCAACAAGTTATTCTTCAAGAAATAATCTATAAGAATTTTCATTAATTCTTCGAGAAATTAAAGATGGATCTGTTCCAAGGACTTTTTTGAATAATAGCAACGGACGTGATTATACAATTTTGGTCTATAAAGTTAAAGGAACGGAGGAGTTTTAATCCTCCAGCTTGGTATCTTAAAATAGAGGAGAATTGGATGAATAAACATAAGAGTTTTGTATTTTCATTTAAATATGGAAATATCCAAAATTCAATTCTCAGCAGAGTACAATATGAAATCATGGCTTTATGGTGTCCTTTAGATAAAGATGAAATCAGATGTATCTGATTTTACTTAAGATAAGTTAATCACTGTTATAAGTCCTTCAAGATGAAAAATCTATTGAACAACGAATAAAAGACGAAGTATTTTAAAGTTGTTATAAAACCTAACCTATCAAAAGTTTTTTTTATATAATCTGGAGTATATAAATAATTACATAATTATTTTATTTAATAAAAGATATATCGAGTTAATTTAATTATAATTTGATTGATTATTTGTGAGGATGTTAAATCAAAAAGTGTCACCAATTCGCACGTTGGGAATTTTTGTTATAAAGATGCTTTTCTAATGATCACTAGGCTATAGATGAAAATTTATAATTATAATACTAAAAAAATACACGAATCTTTGATATTAGAAATTCTGCATTAAATAATATTTGGTATAAGAAATTTAAATGTTTTCGAAAGAATAAGCCATAAATGTTTTTTTTTTGAAAAAAAATCAACACTAATAAAATACTTATATTTTCATTATATTAAATATTATATCTGTTTATTAAAATTGTATTATTTGTGAAATAATGAATAAAGTATCCCATAGAAATCTTAATTTTTGACAATTGTAAAGAATCAAAACATGATTTCATTATCACTATTAATCTTTTACAATTGTAAAGAATCAAAACATGAGTTCATTATCACTATTAATTTCTCTCGCAATGATAGTTACTGTATGGCTTCGTATAGACTCTTTTTTTTTGGTTTATATTTATATAACAATTTTTTGAATAATTTTCTATTGGGTATTGTTAAAGCTCGCCAGTGGTGATTGTTACCGATACATAATTCCCTGATCAACCCTAACCCTAACTTTTCCAATGTAAATTAAATTTTGGCTAGTGGGACGATCACTATCGAGCTTTGGAAATTTTCTTATTCATTAACGTGACGATTATATATTATATTTAGATCAGGTGGTCTGATGGATCGACGAATCGGCAATTAAAATTTCATGTTCACATGATCAGTTTAAGCACGTAAACAATTTATATTTTTTTTTGATTTTTTCGATTTGCACATGCGCCGACCAAAAAATAAGAAATTGTTTACAGACGACGTGTCATGTAAACATGAAATTAATTATAAATACCCCTTATTTATTTGCTTGATCTTAAAAACTTCTCTCGACTCACTACTTACTACTTGTTATTAAAATTTACTCTCGAACTTATTATCTCTACACACTTTATTCTACTTCAGGTGCGAAAAACGTGAATATTTTTATTCATCCTTATTCAAATTTAACTGTGTAAAACTAACTCTATCTTTTTTCCATACTTTTTTCTACATTTATGTATATCAAAAAGAATGTTTGTGACTTTCACCTTAACTGCCTTAGCTGTTCTTACTATTATCTCTCCTGCCATAATGGCATCATTTGAAAACCAAAAGTATGTATTCTTAAAAATAGATGCATTAAAAATGAAAAGTAACTAACTTATTTTTATTTATAGCGTAATTAAGAAACAAAAAAAGAAACAAAATAATGAAAAGGCTGACGAAAATTTGAAAACAAGTAACGTTCTTAGTAAGTATAAAAACGTTGTGTATTAGTTTTCTTAAAATAGAAATAAACCTAACATTTTTTTTGTGATTTCTTGATAGCTGAGGTTGAGATCCATGACGAAAATGAAAGAAAAATTGAAAATGATTATGATGAACGATTTGATTAACCTGAAGAACCACCCGTTAACTTAGCAGCGATGTTGCCAATTACAAAATTAACAAGTTCCGGTTATACCGAAGATGAAAGACTCCAAAGTATATATATTGTCCGTTATTTATTAATGATTAATTATTATAATAAATAATAATTCTTTCTTCTTTTGCTATAAATCAAAATAGATATCGAGGATAAAATTGATGAAATGCTAAAACGCATTGAAATGATCAAGAAATATAAGGAACAAAAAAAAAATAGATTTATAGGATAGAGCTGCGATGATTATAGAATCGATTATTATTTAGCATAATTTTTTCTTATATATATATATGTATCATCTTGTCTTATTATATTATTAAATTTTTTATATTTTCAAAGGCACATTTATTTCTTGAAATGCAATCTAAATTTAAGAATAAAAAAGATAGATCATATATCTTATTCACAATTCTCTATAATCATTCGATAAATTCACCATCTTCACTTTATAGAATTCATTATAATCACTATTATTAATACTCTTAATTATAAGTAATAATGGATTTTGTGATTATAGAGAGAAATACTTTTGTCTACAAATAATGATTAATGTTTTGTAGTGTATTTATCACCGTATGTCACGCCCTTCAAATATCAATTTTATTAGATATCCTAGGGACTTGTAATATTTGTCACATATTATTAGTCACCGAATATTAATCTCACATGAACCTTTTTCGATCACCTGGATATCATGTATCTATAACTAGATCATGTGTTTTATTTTTATTAGTTGATAATTTAACTGGCGTGATTTAATAATGTCGTAAAAAAAAATAATTTTTTCTGAGCAATTTAGAATTTTTCTTTTATTAATCAATCAATTTTATATTAATTAAATCAAAATAGTCAATATATTTGACGTATATATATAAAAAGCGTTTTGATCTATAAATAAAAACTCTTGCAGCAAATCAACAATTTCAATAATAATATGACAAATAACACTTCAAGTTGTAACAATTGTAATGTTATATTATATAATAACGATATTATTATCACTTAACCCACATAATAATTTATAAAAAAATAAGAAAAAATGGAGATGAAGTTTAATCAGTTGATGCTGCTGATGATAGTGTTGGCGATAATATAATAAATTATAATCTTAAAAATGATGATTTGGCGATAAAACATTTGTTAAAAAATATTAATAGTTAATTTTTAAATAATAAAAAATAATTTCCAATATTATTTATTCTTTCCTCCCGTTACGCTAATGATTATCACCGATCATCAAAATTCATTATCTTTTCTTATTAATATAGAATGAACATATATTTGTTGTCGGTAGTCTCTATAAAAAAAATCCTAAATAAATGAACTGATAATATAATTATGATAATTAAAGATTATACCACAAGTAATATGGATATAAATCTGAAAACTTTGCCATATGGTTTAATTGATAAATAATTTTTTTGTGCGTAAGTAATTTTAGTATAAGATCATCAGTTATAATAAATAAATGAATAATGCTTACTAATGCAAATCACCAGTTTAAGTATGTAAACAATATATTATTTTTTGATTTTTTTTTTTTGATTTGCATATGCGCCGATCAAAAAAAATAAATGTTAAACACAGACGATGTGTCATGTAAACATGAAACTAAATATAAATCCCCCTATTTATTTGCTTGATCTTAAAATTTAATTTCTAAACTCTCTCTCTCGATTCGCTACTTACTACTTTTCAATTATATTTACTCTCGAACTTATATATGTCAAAAGAATGGTTGTGATTTTCACCTTAACTGCCTTAGCTGTTCTTACCGTCATCTCTCCTGTATCCTGACATCATTCAAAAATCAAAAGAATGTATCCTTAAATATAAGTACAGTGGGTCATCAAAAGTCATGAGGCAAAAAAAAAATTAATAAAAAAATCGCTAAAATTAAAATGCTAATTGTGACACAACGGGTGATCTAAATTGCACAAACTTTTTTTTATTAGATTTCCCTAAACCAGAGCTATCATATGAATGTCTATACATAGAAAAATTACGCTTCAAATAAAATTCAAAAAAAATAAAAAATTTAATTTTTGAACGTTACCTATACCGGAAATGATAGATTTTAAAGATAGATGCCAACTATCTTATATGAAATTATAGCCAAAAACAATATCTACAACTTTTTTTCAACGGAATTTCATAATATCTAGTGAATATTTGGACTTTAATTAACCTGAATAAAAACGGCCGAAATTTATTAAATAAAAAAAATCTGAAAATAATTGTCAATCGTTTTTACATATGAAAGTTTTTTTTTACTAAAGTACTAATAAAAATGATATTAAGTAATATTAAAGCTAGAAAATAAAGCATCATATACAAAGCATCTAGACATATTTAATTAAAATTAGGCGAATAATTAACGTTTGAATTCTAGAGAATAATTTTTGAATGCCCAGTGTTCAACTGTTGATATTAAATTTAGTTCGCAAGAAAAATTCTAAAAAATTCAACAAAGAGGCTCCGTATTCTTGGCTATAAGATAGTTAATAACATATTTGATAATTTATTAGTAAATAATAGACTTTTATATGTAATAACTTTCGATAATTAATTTCGAATTTTTTTTCAGATTTTTAAAAAATATCAAAGATAAAATGATCGACATTGATTTTCTAAAAACTGAAAAAGTTTCTATATATAAAAGTCTATTATTTATTAATAAATTATCAAATATGTTTCTAATGAATCTTATGCCAAGAATGAGGAGTATCGTTTATGAGGTTATTAGAATTTTTTCTTACAAATTGAATTTAATATCAACGGTTGAACACTGGACGTTCAAAAACTATTCTCTAGAATTAAATCATTAATTATTAACTCAATTTTAATTAAATATGTCTAGATGTTTTGTATATGATGCTTTATATTCTCAGCTTTAATGCTACTTAATATCATTTTTATTAGTATTTAAATTAATAAAAACTTTATAGTTTCAGAATTTTTTTATTCTAATCAATTTTGTTAAAATATGCAGATAATATGACACTGCATATGCATAGTTTAAATGAAATATATAGTTACTATAATATTGTGTAGTTTGAATAAAAAATATGCAGTTAAAAATAAAGTTGTAACATTGTACAGAATATTACAATGTATTGATAAAAATTATATTGTTTATAAACAATACAACTTATAATTATTTAAAAAGATCTTATTTATTTTTAATAATTTACAAATTTTAATTTAAATTTACCAGTTAAATTATATTTTACACTTTTTTTTCTTCAAAAAATAATTCTATAAAAATGGCTACTCAACATAAAGAACTTACTGAATTTCAACATGGAGAAATAATAGGTGCTTGGAAATGTGGTATTATTAAAAGAAAAATAAGAGATGCTGAATTATCCAAAAAGTACAGTATATAATGTCAGCTTAAAAAGAAAATGTATTAGAAAAAAAAACTACTCAAAGTGATTGGCCACATATTATAACTGAAAGAGATAATAATCACTTAATGTGGATTCTTAATGAAAATTTTAGAACCAATATTAAAGAAATATGTGAAAATTTTATTTCTTCCACTTCAACAAATATAAGCTCAATTGCACTTAAAAGACATCTTCATAAGAACAAAATTTATGGAATAATTGGAATGAAATGGTTAAATTGGACTAAAATAAGAAAAGATTGGATAAATGAGTGGGAAAATATTATTTGGAGTGATGAATCAAGATTTGAGACTTTTGGTGGAGATGGAAGAAAACACGTTTGGAGAAATTCCAAGAAAAATATGATCCAAAATGTATCATTAATTAAATTTCACATAAACAATTTCTTTCTCATAAAAATTAAGAATAATAAATTATCTTTTTTGACATTTTATTTTATCAATACAATTCAATTCATTTTAGATAAATTAATCATAGAAGAATTATTATTTATAATCACTAGTAGATATGTAGTGTCATGGACGAAAAATGAATATTTTTATATGAAGTATATTACATTCAAGAAATGCATTTACACAAAAAAATTTATTGACGTCATAATCTTTTAAATAATAAAGAAATGATTAATCAATATTTATTAACAAAAACTTTATCTTATATTATTTATTATTTCATTTAATAGCTCATTGGAATAAAGATTCCCATTTTCATTTGCTTTATTTAGCCAGTAGATAGCATTTATAATATCTCTTTTGCTTCCACGTCCTTCATAAAAGCATCTCCCAACCTTGTATTGACCATCAATATTGTCACTTTCTGCAGCTTTCATATACCATTCAAATGCTTTCATTTGATCCATATTAACCCCATACCCATTTTCATAACAAAATCCTAAATAATATTGAGCAACATGTTCTCCTTTTTCAGTAGCCTTCAAAAACCATTTAAATGCCTTTTGATAATCTCTATCCACACCCATACCATTGATATAACAATACCCAACTTCAAATATTGAATAAATATGTCCAGCAAGAGCAGATTTCATATACCACTGAAATCCTTTGGCTGTATCTTTTGGTGTTCCGATTCCATCTTTATAGCACCAACCGACATTACTTTGGGCAGCAGTAATTCCTTTTTCTGCAGATTTTAAATATAAGTCCAATGCTTTTTCATGATTTTTTTCGACACCAAATCCTTTTAAATAACAATATGCTACATCAGTTAAAGCCATAAAAGACCCTTTGCTAGCAAGTTTAGAATAAAGGTGATATGCCTTTTTCAAATCTTTTTCAACGCCTAAGCCATCTAAATGCATATGTGCAAGGAGCATGGTTCCAATTTCTTTATTGATCTCATATAGTTTCACTAAGTATGGAGAATTAGAGGAGGAGGCATCAATTATTTCATTGACAGACATACTAATGAATTTAAATGCCATTTGGTAATCAGTAACAGTTCCAATGCCATTCATATAAAAAAATCCTATCATGCTAGTGAACAAAGAATGCGATCGATGGTTAATCATCTCATATAGGATTTTAACTGGATTCTTTTTATGCTCTTTAATATAAATTCTCATCATAATAGGTTGCGCTTCCGTAAACTGGTTTTTAATGATATCAAAAAAAAAATTAAATGAATCCTTAATAAAAACTTCATATTCTGCTGATTTATTGTCAAAGTGAGGATCTGAATGAACTTTCAGTTCTTCATTTTGTCTTAATAGAGAGATTTTTATAATTAATAAATATTTTATGGGATTCGAGAACAAATAATAACAAGAAAGAATGTGACCCACATATTTAGATTTTCCAAT